GTGGCGGGGGGGGGCGGGTTGACCGCCGCATATTTCGCAAATGGAGGTCTCTTTGGAGAGCCCTTCGCTGTTTATCAAGACGAAGGACCAATCATGTGCTGAAGTCTCCGTTTTGTAGAGTTTTCAACTACGTTGACACCGTAGGCACGATTGGGGCGATGGAGAGCTTGTCGCTGGCGCTGTTGATTATGTTTCCATCCGCTGGACCGGTATACAGAAAGCTAAACAGCATTTAGCGCCCCTCGCTTTCTTTGGGTTTGAACTATTGACGTTTCATAGGCTTGCTCGCGTCCCCGCGAACTGCACTGTTTACACTTGATTTGAGAATTTCAGACTCGAATGACGCAGCACGCGTCTATGTCGAAGGGGTTCTTGTCGCCGAGGCCATAGGTGGCACTCTCGTCGGAAGTGGTCAGGTTTATCTTCTCAGGGGGGCTCTACACGCAATCACAATCGAATATCACGAATCAATCGGGACGGCTGCCATAGCCCTGGCATGGTCAAGTCGGGAGGTGTCACACCAGCCCATTGCTTCTTACTACTTATACCCAAGCTGGATGCCCATTGACGGCAGTCCTTTTGCCCTTGAGCTTTCATCACGCAATAAAAGCGCGTAGCATACGGGAGCTCGGCAGCCCGTTAAGAATACTCAGTCGAAAGCTTAGCCGCAACCTTGAGCATATCACGGTCACTGCCAGTGGCGTGCTCGTACTGCCAGTGGCGTGGCACTAGCAGTACGAAAGTCAGTACGATGCACAGGTCGTAACTTGAAGTGGATACCCTGGTCCGGAATGAAATTGCATTTACGGCAGTACAATATGTTTCCGGTAACGAGTTAGTGAGTTTAGACCACCTATCATGATCCAGCTAAATAAAACTGCTGGCTGTTGTGGTCCTCTCCCAGCTCGCCGCTTCCCCGGGTTCCGGGGTGGCGCGGCTTATATTTTTTGGCTCATATGGTTTCTAATGGCATCCAAGGGTTGGGTTTGAGTGATGATTTGCTGAAGCATTATAAGAAGGAGATAGGTGAAATGGCCTTGGGTATTTTGGATGGCGAGCCCTACGACTCGCCTATCCAGGAGGGCATACTCCTGACTTGTATGGTTGAAATGCTACCATATGTTGATTCTGATAAATCAGAGTTTTCTGATGAAGTATTTGAGGGATTTTTGCGCGACCCTGCTGACGAGATAAACGAGGAGGAACGTGGAGAGGAGCCCCCTAAAGGCGAGTCGGAGAGACATATCCTCCTGCAGCTTCAGCAGTCCATGGGTCAAGTGGTTGGCCAGTTGAAGGAGTTACAAAGCTCTGTCAAGGAGATTTCACGCAGAGTGCAACGTCATGATGCGATTCTTAATAGTCGAGCCACTGACAGCCGGGTTAAAGACCGGAGTTTTGAATTAGGCCCCCTCCCATTGACCCCCTTACAGCTTTGCTTGGGGGGGGGGGGAGCCGGCTTTAGACCGGAGTTTAGTTTGGACAGACCTTACTCACATAGTTGGCACTCAGGTCATGGACCTTTCCTTTTTAAAAGGCGATCAATTGCGTTCTGAGGTGGAGTCTTTCCGGGACTTGATAACACTCGATAGGACCATACAAGGGACCACATAATACGGGCCAGGGGCAATTGTATACCTAAAAATGGAATGCCCTTCGGGTCGCGGTGCAAAATCACCAGCGGCTGCAGATGGTGCCGTGGGAAACCCCCGCTTCTTTTTTGTGACTACGTTCATTAAGTGGCATCGATATCCCTGCCGAAAACTCCGCTGCTCTTGCCACCCTTTGCGCGGCGCGCTGTTTGATGTGGTAGCTTCATTGGCTGATGAATTTCGGATATCTGCCTCGGGTGAGTCCCTCCCTGGCCGAAGGCATGGCTAGTGGGCGAGGTGGTGTCTGGGATGGAAGGCGGAGCACACAAAAACAAACTAGAGTCACCATGTTTGCGGGAATTAGACTTAAATTGTGCAGCTACATCAAGTCCACGTCGATTGTTTTCACCCCTAACCAACTTACTCTTCATAGTGGCCGGGTCGTTGTCCGAGTCCTCGGATCCCAGGTCGTCGACATCAGAGTCTTCATCCAAACCCGCATCGATGCGTTCTAAGCCCTCAGCTTGTGAGGAAGCCCCTGAAGCAGCGCGATATTGACTAGATACTAAACTACCATTCAAAGTGCAAAGGGTGGGTGGTACTTGAGATTGGTAGATTACTCCGCCGCCCGGTTCCGCGGCAATTCCTCGAAAGAAGGATTCACGCTGAGTAGAGTTCGGGAGGTAGTAATCCAGCAATGCCCCACAAAGCGAACGACCTGCCTCCTGAAAATGTCCCATGTTAAAATGATAGTTTTGAAGTACTCCAAAGTTTGATCCACAGAAAGATGCTTCCAGAGTAAAACTGTTTGATATACACATTTCACGGGCAACGACGACACGACCTGTGAGAAAATACCATTCTGTGAAAGTTGGAATGTTTGTCGTACCCGTTCCTTCTCTTGATTTCTTGACATGGAAGCTACAGTCGGCAAAGTTCACGTACTTGCGTCCTATTTCATTCCAGCTTAAGAGCTTCGGGAATACCCGCACCGCTGGGCGTGGTTTTCGGCGATCATCGCAACCATACATGAAAATGTTTTGTTTCCGGGAATGCCCATGAAGATCACAAAATAAAACCACCTCCCGCTGTGCGCGCTCAGTCCGGATCAACGATTTCAGATGATATATTGTTGGGTGTAGAGCTTTGGTTGGTTTCTTCCATTGCCTAATTAATAGATCGCCTAGAAGAAATCCGTTTACATTGGGACTAACCTATTGAGATCGACTCCAGAAAGAGAGCATCGATTATTGCCGTATATGACTCCATCTGGATTTAGCATTGGAACAATTTTGAAGATAAACAAAGAACGCAAGATTTTAGCATCGTTAGACTCCCCAGTGAGGAATTCGAGAATCCCGCGCATCATCCAACTGGCGGGGGTTTCGCCAGGATGTACGCGTGCACTAAGAATGATGAGCTTCTTTCGTCGCGTCAAATAGGGCATGGACGTTGTATTGCATTCATTTGAACGTAGATCATTTTCATTGCTAGTGATTGTCATAAGATCGCATTCGTGGCTATCAAGCGTCCTACACAATGCCGAATGCCTTGTTACTCGACGTTTACGGGACGATCTCAAGAGGTTTGCGATATGGGCTTTGTGATCTGAATAAGTGTACGGATACGAATGCGCGATCAAATAAATATCATCCGGTCTGTAGAATGCTAGAGTGAACGACAATGTGTAGTAAGTCATACCGGCATCCACCGGGCTGCTGCTCGTGCCACTTGGATGACGCAGATACTGGTTTGCCTGGTATTGCACGCTAGTCCCAGTTCGCACCCAGCCGATACCATTTTCGACTGCCTCCGCGCACGAATACATCACAGGCTGCATTCCCAAATTGAAAAGCGAATCTGGCTTTGTAAGATTGACAATATTGAATGTAACCAAGGCTGCATGCTGGGTTGGCGGGTCACTAACTTGCTCGCTTCTGCTACATCGCCAAATCTTAACTTCTTCAACGGTGTGTGTGTTTGTTACCGCAAAATAGAACCATTGTGTGAAACCTTCAGTGTGTAGATCTGCACGTAGGAAAAGATCGTACTCTTTTGGACCTCGCTGTACAGCACTAAGAAGGTTGGCCGATTCAAAAGATGCATCAAATACCAGGCTATTTTGGAATGGGTAACCAAGACCACCTTCAGGGACCGTGTAAGGAACTGGTGTGGCCACCCGTGATTGTAATCCACGTCCTGCAGCAGACTTCCCCACATAAACTACGTGCATGTTGGGGGTTAGTTGACCGGTGGTGTCTTTGATCGTGGTCCTATTTTCTCGGAGTGAAGCGCGACCTGTGCCATGACTTGAAAATTGTGCAATAGGAGAATTTTTGTGAATAATACGTTGCGAACATGTCTTATTCGCGGCAGCAGATGATGTCTTTGCTTCACTCAAGCTGGTAGATTCAATTTCAGCGGCAGTAACTCGCTCCAAGTATGGCGGCGGTGCTGAACAAAGACGTTCAGATTTTGGGGAATGGGCTAGTGGATGCAGTGGTCGTTTTCTGCTTCGGCGAAGCGTATGAATCATACCACAGCGGCACAGCGAACCAGGGCCACATGTACCGCTACGAGCTGCGTTTGAGTTGAAATCAGCAAATGAGTGTTCATCTCCAGCGAGTACGAATTTTTCGGTATTTGCCTTTCGAGCGCTAAACGGTAGACCAAGCGGGGGGGTGGGATCTTCTCGTTTTGGTTCGTTGTTGCGTATCAAAGCTTGCTTAGTTGGATCTCCTTGGAGAGGATTAGATGCACCTTGAATGCCATTTGTTTTCCCAGAAGACCGAGAAACTTGTCGATTCTCTCTTTGTTTATTAGTCTCTGAACTCTTGCACGCAATAATATCTAGCAGCTGTTTAACAGCATCGTGTACTTGGTGATGTTGGAATTCAGATGATGTGCGTTTATCTGCATCGTAATCGGGTATATTTGGATATGGAGACAGAACAGCACTGGCCCAATGGGAAACGTACTTGCGCTCCAAGGATTGGATAATTTGTGGTGTTTCGAGGACAACAAGTGCACCAGCGCATGCGCTACCGTAAGATGCAAAGCCAGATAGAAATTGACACATTGATGCAAGTGCACTCCCTGAGGGCGCATTAGGAAATGTGTCGACTCTATCAAGGATGTAATTTTTATCGCAGCCAGAGAGTATTCGTTTGTCGAGGGGCGGGCCTTCACGGCACGCCGTTGTTAGAGAACATGACCCTGCAGGCTTCGCTGGCACCTGAACCTGCATTTTTGCCCATGTCAAGCACACTTTTACACCCTCTCGTTCCCACTGCGCAACGTGATTCAGAATTTCTAACGGTGCAGAAAGTCAAGGGGGGTAAGTACCTCGGGATACTGGCTCTGAGAAAAATCTGGAAAAGAAAGAGGATCCTTATCCGCATATGATGTCACGGTCAGTTCATTTGTAAGATGTTCTGCATGATGATCACACCCTACTAATGTTGCTAACGTACAAAACACTATGCCAGCAAGCTCAAAATCGGATGGTCGTGATTTCAAACACAAGAGTAGGCCAGGTATGCCAGTCACTGAGACTGAAAAGGGCAGGAGTTTACGTACTCCGTTTATATCCGTCCCTGCAGGACCAGCCCTATCACCTGCCTTTGCTAGAGCTTTGATTGTTTTGACAACGGATTCTACTATGTCCCGTGCATGAGGATGCAACGTTGCAGCTGTCAGCACTGGATCAGCGATGCCAAGTGACCCCAACATTTCTAAAATTGATGAGAAGTGGCTCAGGTTAGTTATTGATCGGATACATGCACGCGTAACATCACGGCGTTGTGCATGCCATTGTAGCACCATGACCAAAGCATTGACAGCTGTTCTGAGAGATGTCTCTTCGCCACCCTTCTCGGTGGCGGCGCACGCTTTGACATGAGTTTTCTCACGTTGCAATTCTAGGCACGTGTCTGTGATAAAACCCTTACACAATTGTGCCTCTATGTCAACACAATGATCACCCCTGATCGCGTCATCATGGGTGATGGAGTAGAGAATATGACAAGCAGCCGCAACAGTTTCCACCTCTTCAATCTGAGAGTGGAGCACAAGGAGCATAAGTGGAACCCCCCCCCCACGTGCCTGTAGATACGGAGGACCTCAGCTTCACACCAGAGCTCTCGAGATTCCCAGGCCCCGGAATTCACAATCTCGCTCGCGACAGGAGCCTCCTGTAGCATGCGCAACAAGACAACGGCGCCAACACGATGCAAATCGACATGCCGTGGGTGCATTTGAAGAACCGGCAGGAGAACGCGGACTCCACCACCAGCTGCAATCTTCAAGCCTTCACCACGATTATCAGAAAGTATAGCAAGAGCATGACATCCTGACTTCGCAAGCTCTTCATGTGCGGAGTGTTCCTCCAGTATTGATAAGACCTGTTAGGCAAAATTGCAACACACATATTTTTGGTGCGCCGGACTGGACTGTCATTGTGGCCCCAAGTTCAGACAGTTGATGAGCGTTTTCCACGTTTCCAACTATAAGGGAAGCAAGAGCATCGAACACGAAGGGCACTAACACGATGTTTGTCCGATGATTGTGCAATACTTGTAGCAAGCATGCAATACCACCATGTGAGGCGATCAAGGATTGATTTTGGGAGTTCTGACACATATTTGATAGTGCCCCGCATGCTGATTTCAAGAAGTCTGCGCTAGATGGATGGATTTTCATGCCCTTTACAATTGCGGGGATGCCTCCTTGCTGGCCTATAACCTCTTTAAGGAGAGGATTATTAAAAGCTAAAGACCACAAAAGATCACATGCTGCTTCCAATAAATCTGCTCGTGCGAGGTGCTGCTCCATGATGTTACACAGAAGACGCATTCCATCCCGAGCGATGAGAAGCTTGTTAGCCTCTTCCCGCGAAAGGATTGCCAAGACGCCACAACACATCTTTAAGGATTCTATGTGGTGCACATGATCTTGCATCCGCTTCAGGATTTCGTGTACACGATTTAGGGGAGATCCTACACCCACGATCATGTCGTTTATATTCCGAAATCTTTCGTCTCGACGGTGAGTCAAGCCGCTATAGTCTGTCTGTTATATCACTTTACGGCTGAACGTTTATAATGGGTGCGTTTATACGTCTACATGTCTTTGTATCAGCTAAAACAAAGTAAGGCAATTAAAACTTAATACTGATCGGCCGAGCCGCGAATTAGCCGCGCTAAATCGCATATCGGTTGTAGGACGGCCGACAGAACACTGCATTCGTGAGAGGTTTTCATGTGTTGAACTCGTCGTTCAGCTGAGCCCCCCCCCCCCCCCCCCCCTNA